CTCGAGTACGACACCCCGGAAAATTTCAATCAGGGAACCCAGTAACCCAGGCTTCGAGTACAGTACGGTGGATCTCCCGGTCCCCACAAGTAACGTCGGACGACCCTTTTTAAGCCATTGTAAGGTCGAGGACTCCTGCCGAAACTACGCTCCAATTCTGGTTCGATAAAATCTCTTGGAATCCACCACCGTCAGTTCTGCAATCCCCAGATTCCAACCAGCATCGGCAAATCATGCAAACTCGCCAAACTGAACCCTCCCTTGGCCAGCAGGGGGACCACCGACAATCCAATAGGGAATTCCAAGATATCCAGGTACAGGAGCTGCATGGCTTATCCATCGCTCGAGAAACACTCAGTAAATGCCTTGCGGGAACTACCCGAAATGGGGGGTCATCTGCAGAGAAAGTCGGAAGAGGATTGAACGCTCCACCCACAACGATGCTTCCTCACTTTCTTTGGACTCTACAGCATTAACAGGTGATGGGGATCACGAGCCAATCCCGGAACCCCGTACTCATGACGGATTTTCTGTTATTGGGATCATGCCTGATGCTGGAGGGTTGTGGGCCTCACTTTGCTCGGTTGGTCGGGCTAAACAACTCTGGAGCTCGGTAAGGAATCCCTCTCCTGTAGAACATTACCTCCCAAACCACTATAACTTTATTGTAATACGATAATAATTTTCGCCTTCTAGCTCGGCCCAAGGCTCACTTGATGGTACTACATTACCACCCGCGGGGACTCAACATGAGTCCATCCTAATTTCTCCATGCTTGAGCCGAGTCCTCTCCATTCAGTAACTTACTGCGGTAAGGCGAGTGACTACTCGAGTACCGGTTCTACCGTAGAGCCCCTTTTCCCGGCCAAGAGAGAGAGTCCCAGCCGGTGGGGAACTAGGTTGAGGTTAGTTACATAGTGCGGCCCACTTCCGCATTGCGTGATTCACTAACATTCCAAAGGGCCAGGGTTCTTCACAACTTTCAAGGTAACCCGGCTTGGCTGAACACCACGTAGCAAACGTAAGCATCCACCCCGGTGTCACCAGTATTAGGATTCTCAGCGTCATACAGTCGTCGTTCTTGAATCGTAAATATGATATTCAAGGGTCTTTTTTTCTTATTTTACTCGAGTACGGCTGTGTTTCCTTGAAAACCCCAACCAGTGTTCGAGGGTATGGCTGCTCCCCCCAACTCCTTAAGACTTGGCGCTGGGGTCGACCTTGTACGGAAGGGGGCAAGTTGATAGAAACATCTGGAGATGCCAACCTTGGGGGTAGTCAAACCCCCGAACTCCTAGCGGTTTTCAAGCTAGCAAACACCAAAAAAAGAAAGATCGGGATGAATCACAACAACCCCGCACACCTAAGAACCAAGAGGTTTTCGCGGGCAAATTGTGGGGTGGCTAAATTCGATCGACAGCGGGATTGCCGCTACGCTCGAGCGCTCGAGTGCAGTGGGTGCAAGTATTATTATTATTATTTGTTTAAGTTACTCCGCATGCTACTTGCGTAAGTTCAGGATCTGGTGTTTACAGTCTCTCACTATCAACCCGCTGCTACAGACTGTACACATCAAATATTTTATGATATAATTAAAGGGCGAATTTGAGAAAGGCACGTCGTGGGTACCAATACGTCATGGGGAAGCTCAGGGCCAATTAAACGAGCTTTTAACATGCCTCTAGGGCATGTTAAAATGTTAACAGGTGTCTGGAATCCACTTGCCCGCGTGAGGCACAGAACGGACACAAGACCTGTATTTTATTTAGCGAAGCCTGGTATGCCTATACACGAGTTGCTGACAAACCCAAGGTATCATACTGTTAAATATGAAACGGGAAAAAGAGAGCCCGTCGGATTCCCCACTGAGGTAAGCTAAGGAATCCCCACCTGTTCGTCAATGGCTTAAGAAAACCAATATATCGTCACAAAGCCTGAAGGGATAGAACCCTCGTTTACTGGGATATCTACGTTATGCGGAAGAAAACATGTTGTGAATAGAGATTCCAGCACAAGCAGCCGATAATGGCTCCAATAACCGGCTTTCCCATAATACTCTTATTCACAGTGGCGTGTGTAGAAGCAAGATGTTCGGATTCGAGGGAAGCGGCTTCTTGGGCTGGCAAGATAATGAGTTTGCTCATTTTAGGGGAGAGGTAATTCCGGAGAATCCGGCGAATGAAGGAAGGGCAAGGCTAGAGGGAGTGGTGCTGAACCCTTGAATTTCACCCACGAGAATCGTCTGCGTCACTTCTTAGATCGCAGTCGCAGTGCCCCCCCCCCAGAGCGATTCTTCCAGAGGTATCATATGAAATAACCCGAAATCTCGCTATTCCATCACAGGTTCTCACCCATATAGTGTTTCCGCGGCTCCCAAGAGCAGGAGTTGGGCATTTTTTGTCCCCCACTATATTCGCACCAGCTCATACAATTATTCCGTCAGCAGAGCTGCTTGCTCAAACTTCCCGGCCCCTCGAATGCTCTCATCAGATATTGGCTTGTCCCTTCCTGCAGTGAATAATTGTGAACTCCTGGCTTTCCAAGCTGACACCCTAACACCTTCTTTCCCTAAGCTCTCTACTTTAGGCGTCTTCTATGTGATCTGGATTGCCATTGGCATTTCAAACGTTGGACTCATTAATTTCACCTAATGTGCTGTTGACGTAGTCAAATATTTGTGTGGCTATGGGCCATGGAGCAAGAGATTTCATGAGGACATGTCCTACGCCAATTGAGGGAGATCCTCTTTGTTCTCCTCCTAGATGATTTGGATGCGAGGGCGCAGCAGGTTCCGGGGAAGAAAGGGTGCTAAGGTTGGTGTTATCGATACATAGTATTATGGACCGTACGTACTGGCGGTGAGATTAATAGCCCGGACACCCCAAAGGCTGGTGAACCTGGGATAACAAACCCAGCGAATTTATCAAAGGTCTGAGATTACAGATTTATTTGCAGTGTTTCGGTTACTCAAGAACCCGTTTCTCCAAATTTTGAAGGTTTTGAGAGGTGGCGATCCACTTGTTTCCCCCACTACGCTGGGTTCCGCTCAAAGAAATGTTGACATTGGAGTAACCACGTATCCACTTCTTGTTCTTCAGATGTTCCTTTTCTGATTGCTTCCCCTTGATTCGTCCCCAGGTCTCCGGGTTATTACTGTAGGCAGTCGGGTGGAAGAGTGGAGTTCACAACAATGGTGCCGTAGTCTCAACCTCATATGCGCCTTTTGAGTCCCCCACCACAACTATTGGATAGCTATATACCAAAATTGAAATGAAGCTTATCTACATGCCTCCTTGCCTTCAGCACTTAGTTAGCCCACCATGCGCCTGCCGTAGCTTTTCTATACGCCTCAACATCTTGTCTACCCACTCGTAGGTTTGTGACCATAACAAGTAGCCCTTCCCAAACCTCCCGCGCTAAAGCAATGACAACCCATTCCCGCGCATGGTGTTGCAAGCTTAAAAAATCAAATTGAAGCAAGCTGCGCATGTTTCTCCAAGAAGTATGACAATCGGTTTATAATGTCATCACCCATTCTCACTCGCAGTCAGCATGAATTTAGAATGACTAACCGTCTAGTGCTATCGTACTGAGGGCAAAATGTCCCACGGGCCACTACTCACCCTCCGCTTTCATGGTGTCATAACCTGCCGACCCAATGTCACCTCGTATCGGATGTTTTCAGTTCTTGTCTATTGCTATCATCTGGTGCAGTGGTGTCCAAGTTGATGACGGAAAATACACCTACTGTAGTGACACTTTTTTCCATAATAGAGAGAGTTCTCCATACGTGTCAGGTGTCATAGCGTAGACGTGATCAAATTTTTAACTTATTATAACGACTACATTTGACTCTAGGGAGTATGATATCGTACCTGCGGCAGGCCAGAGGAACCCAGGGGCATGGCGAAGCATACTCGAGTACAGTATTTTGTCTTGGCGCTCGGATAGCCACAGATTTTACCCTTATTATTTGTTCAATCCTTTGCTTCCATCATAGGCACTTCTAGGCGACAATTGACAATTGTAAGGATTAAGAAAGAATGGCCATGTTAACCACCGGAAGAAACCTTGTAATTCGCCCTTTCCGGCAGGCTTCTACTTGTAATCTCCTGGTTCGGAGGCGAAAGCTCCCGAGAGAGATTAGCGCTTTCCCGACACGGCAGAGCCCGAGGCGTCCGTATATGCGTTGGATCCCCAACTGGTATTCGCACTTCTGTTACCGGTAGCCTGTCAGACCAAACCTATCGTTGGCTGACGGGGTGATTGTCTAATAGCGAGTTCTAAGCGTTCTCGCGGTATCATAATTATTTTTACGAGAGCTAAACGATAAGACAGGGTTCAACGGGTGATGAATTCACTCTTCTGCCCTCGAATTGCCCCTGTCCCTCACCCGCCGATTTTCGCCGTGCCCCGTCGAAGACCGTGCTAGAGCAGAGGCGATCTGTGGGATGACGATGAATTGCCAATACAGGGCCAGAGATGGGATGAGCCAACGGCCGGAACTTTCTTTAGACCGCATGCGGTGCCGGGCATATGAAATCGAACTCACCCACGAACAAATCCCGCGACAGTCGGACCCCAACTGTTTTTACAAGGAAGTTTTTGGAGAAAAACCCTGCATAGCCGCTCGAAATTGACTCCTCTTTAATTCCACAAACTCCGCTCCCCGATAAAGTGAGGAATAGTTGGGAGGGGTAGGTATGAGGGTACGAGGGGAACTCTCGAAATTGTGCCGAGTCGCTGCTCTTTTTGTGTGCATTACTAAGAAGGAAAAAAGTGAAGAGGGTCAGTTTTTGGTGTCCGGCACTACTACCGGTAATGCCGGTAACTTATTGGAGCAGCCTCCTTTTTTCTTCATCCCTCCCCTTCCCCTCATGCATCGGGATCCGGCGATAATAGCCATCTTGCCTTATGACACCTGCGGTCTGTTCCAGCGTCAGGAGGCTCTAAAACTGCGAGTACCCGCACAAAAAACAGGCACCAAAAAAAATCCCGACCAATTAGACTGGATCGGTTTTGCCAATTCTCACCACTCAAAAATCTCGCGACGCCCTAACAGACTGGATTGATGATGATTGTTTAGTTCACTTCCGAGAAAAGACCCGGAAAAAATCTCCCTCGGCTTAGCCTAGCGGCACGGTGGTGGTAACGCAACCGCTGTTATCCCCCACGTTGCTATCGTACCCTGTTCAACCCCACACATTTTTCTCCTTTTCGTTTACGTTCCTGACCCCAAACAATTACCTACCAGACCCCGCGGTGGGAAGAGGGGGCTCTTTATATAACAAGGACGAGAGTTCCCCTTCGTTTTCGGTTATCCGAGCAGGATTGAGGTTGAAGCCTAGAAGTCAAGGTAAGTTTTTTTCTTCTTTTCTTTTCCGAATCTTCATCATCTGATTGGGTGCTGTGATCACTCTCTCACGGCTATCTCTCGCTATCTTGCTCGTAGCAGACAAGAAGCACACGCAAACAGGGATCCACAAAATATATGGTATTATCTCTGCGGGTCTGAGCCCCCGTAAAATTCACGACCCTGTTTCCGGATACTTCTTGCCTGCTACGAGTACTGCTCCTCCTGACTGGCTCTTTCAACTCCTCCTTCTCCCTCACATTCTCTATTCCAATACAGCTCTAAACTAACCCACCTAACGTCGCCTCCGCAAGCAGTCTTAAATATGTCTACTTCATCTCCTCGCAAAGCTTTAAACATCAAGAACATCAACCCTCACATCCTCAAAGCTCAGTATGCCGTCCGTGGCGAGCTTGCCCAACGTTCCGAAGTGTGCCGCCAACAACTTGCTGCCGTAAATCCTCCATCCCGCCCGTAGCCATTCGACATCGCTAACAGATACTGAGGGTCTGAAACAGGGCGACGCCAAACTACCTTTCGATTCTGTCATTTCAGCAAACATTGGAAACCCGCAGCAGCTGGGCCAAAAACCCATTACCTTTTTCCGTCAGGTTCTGAGTATACTAGAGTACCCGGCCCTGTTGGAGAAGGAAGGATTATTCCCTGAGGATGTTCGAGAGAGAGCGAGGGTTCTCCTGAAGGAGGTGGGAAGCGTTGGCGCTTATTCTCAGAGTCAAGGATGTTTGGGAATTAGGCGGAGCGTTGCAAAGTTTATTGAAGGTTCGCATGCCCTCCCATGCGAGGCTAGGGGGTATTGAGAGCTAATTTGAGGCTTTAATAGCTCGTGACGGACACCCCGCGGACCCTCGCGATATCTTCTTGACAGCCGGAGCCTCCTCTGGGGTCAACACCCTTTTAAACACCATCTGCTCGCATCCCGCCACCGGGGTGTTGATTCCAATCCCCCAATATCCGCTTTACACCGCTACTCTTGCTCTCCTCAACGCCACTCCGGTCCCTTATTTTTTGGACGAAGCTACTGCATGGTCCACCGATGCCAAACAGATTCGCTCCGAGATTTCAAAGGCCAAGGCAGCTGCTATTGATCTTAAATGCCTCGTTGTAATCAACCCGGGAAATCCAACCGGTGCTACACTTGCAGAGTCTGGGATCGAAGAAGTCATTGCCCTGGCTGCGGAAGAACACCTTGTTATCATCGCCGACGAAGTCTACCAAACCAATGTCTACTCAGGCGAATTTCATTCCTTCAAGAAGGTTCTGCGTAACATGCAGAAGGCATCGCCAGGCGTTTATGACGAGGTGGAGCTTGTCTCATTTCAATCTGTTTCCAAAGGAATGGTGGGGGAATGTGGCCATCGCGGTGCTTACTTCGAGCTCGTCGGTTTTGATCAAGAAGTACAAGCCCAAATCTACAAACTGATCTCTATTGGCATCTGCCCTCCCGTTATCGGGCAGTGTCTTGTAGAAATGATGGTAAACCCACCAGCTCCGGGATCACCATCCTACCAGCTCTACCAGCAAGAGTACAGCTCTATTTTCCAGAGCCTCGTGCTCCGATCTCGTGCTCTACACGAAGCCTTCGTTAGGATGGAGGGTGTTGAGTGCCAAGACCCTCTGGGTGCAATGTACCTATTCCCAACAATCACCATCCCCACCGCAGCAGTGGAGAAGGCTCAGGAGGAAGGTCGCCGCCCCGATGAGTACTACTGTATGAGACTCCTCGAAGCAACTGGTATCTGTGTTACCCCTGGCAGTGGGTTTGGCCAACGTGAGGGCGAGTGGCATTTTAGAACCACCTTCCTCGCTCCGGGGGTTGACTGGGTAGCCAGACTCGAGAAGTTCCACGAGGGCTTTATGAACGAGTTCAGATGACGATGGGGTTCTGTGTTTGTCTCTTTTTAACTAGTTCCTATCTCTTCTCTGCTGGATGGGAATGATATATATTTCTTTTTTCTCTCCATGTTTTTTTGCGGGTTGCGTAGAGGCAATGGGCTTGGGAAATTCACTGAACATGGGGTAGAACCCACTGAATTTGTCGGTATTTCGGGATATTACTACTCACTCAATTCCCCTTTAGAAAAATTTACAGGGAAAAGGTTCAATAAACTCCTTGGCGTTTAGAAACTTTGGATATAAAATTTTGAATTTTTTTTGCTCCAACTCTTGCAGCAGTTAAGTGAAGTGATATATGAGATATGCCCGAACCGGTAGCGCTTTTCAAGCTAGGCTCCCCGTTACACCAGAGACATATCACACTACATCAGACTATTATACTTACATTGAATGCTCTCGCCCCATATATCTAAATAGCAGGCAGCTAAAGTAGGAAAAGGATAAACGGAGTTCAGACCTGGAAGCTTTGTAGGCTTGTTCAAGCAACAGACACGATGTTTTGTCAACCCAAACTGTCCAAAAGGGAAGGGGGGGGCTGGATCGCGTCCTATTCGGTGAAATCCATGAGTTTACAACTATGATATATTCCATTAGTTTGCTTTCTTCAAGTTCCTTCGATAAGTATTAACTGATCCAAAAATGCGAAGTATATAGCAGAAAGTGAACTCTTAAAACATCCTAAGGAGAAATGACCAACATTCGAGTTGAAACAAAACATGAGAACTGCCTTTTTCTACTGCATCTAGAATGTTTCTCTCATTTCTCAAATAATACGACAATCCTGGGAAATAGTTAAAAGCTGCCTGATATAGGCATGCGAGTCCCAATTACTGGATAATCATAGCAGGGTCTGGAGAAGGAATCTTTTTCCTGTACTTCATTAAATGATATCTTTTGATATGAAGGGGTTCCTTTTTTACCCAGATGACACTCCTATCCAAAAGGCTTATACTATTACTGCTTGGCTGGAGAGGAGTTGTGTTGAAGTTAAGGAACACTTCCCTTATTCTCCTGTTTGAAATCTCATTAACCATGTGGGAACGAACCTAAAAAGAAACGTTATCAGCAGTATTCAAAGATTGAAAATTCCACAGTAGAAAGGTAAACTGCCGAGAGGTCTGCACACGTATTACCATTTTTTGGAAGACTGTTCTAGTGGAGTTTTTGTTTTGAGAAGTTGTGGAAATCAATACCTGATAGGTAGCTGCGATTTCAGAAGCAAAGCTAAGAGGAGGCTATACAAAGCATTGGCTGGCGCTATTTCCTTTGCTTACTATCTTTATTATTTAATTTATACTCCTTTTACTCTATCGTCCTCATGTTGATCGTTGATTGTTCGTTGACAATGCCCCTCCGCTGCCCGTTGCACGGCCCTATGGCGCAACCGCAATCAATCAGGTCTCTGATCACCAACACTTCTGACGAGTGGCTGAGGTTTTAAATGATTTGCTTTGCAAATTGTGAGCATGGGACGAATTTATAAAGTTGGAGCTACAAGAATATGATATTTAAAAAGATTCTGCACAGTTCTTAGGATCGCATAAAAATTTGACATGTTTGCGATTTTGCGATAACATTCTCCTGACAGCTGACCGCCCCTAACCATTCACTACAATAAGTTATAAGTATCTCTAGGAATGTTACATGACGACCGCCCATCCGTAATCTGCATACGACTGGATATGACATCGTGATGATATTAGGTCCACCACTTGCATATTCATGGGCGGGGCTCTAGGAGTTTAAATTTCCAGGGATTTGCTACTTGTACACTGCCGCTTTATCAATAGTAGCTTACTTTTTTTCCTTTTCCTTTCATAATTAATTAAATATTTGGTGATACGAAATAGTTTCATTGACCACTGGTGAGAGAAAAAGATAAATCCACCCACTAGCAGGATAAGTATTTGTTCCAATGGTAGTATGCTATGAAATTCCTAGCTGGCGCAGTGGTTGATATTAGTGTTAAAGAACCATTTAACTCCTGTGCACTTAGCAGGAGCCCAGGAGTTCGATCCCTGCTCAGAAATGAGTATTTATCGGACGTTCCATCATGTAGGGCAGGAGAATGGTCCACTCCTGACGCCCTATGGTAAATGGGAGGCAGGTGGTTGAGTCCGACTCTAGACCTCAGCCTAAAGGAACGGGGTAGAGGTCCGCAATCGGCGGAGCTTTTTTTCTCCCCCCTCCTCCGATCCATCCATATGAGAGAGAAGTTATAATTCCTGAATGCTACACAAACTCTCCAGTACAGACACTACGGAATCGGCCTCCGAGGGTGATCATTTGCCATCAAACCACACTGTCACCATTAACCCCACTGTATGTAACCTAACCGCCTTTTACTAACGAATGTTCCGTTTGAATTATTAGTAGTGATAGTGACCCGTATTTATAAATTCATGTCCCGAGTGTATCATTGCTCTTTATACTCTTTATAAGGTTCTCCTATTATACCTCGTGCAAGAATAGAAAAAGTGCCTGCCATACTTATCGGTACCCGTGTACCTGAAAATCTCTTGTCGCCTATACCCTTGGCGCACAAACGCTCAGAACTCCCCTCTCATGAGCACCCTAATATATATTTTCCCCTGCTTTACTTATATTTTTTCCCCAGAAGGCTGATATCATATTGTTGTAGTGTGGCAGTAGCTGTCAGGAGCTTCCTGATAACCTCAAACAAGGAGCTGCCTAGACGCCTGCAAGGAGAGATATCGAGGAGCAGTCTGGACCTATGCGAGGAGATGAGAGAAGTGGTTTGGGAGTGGTTTGAAGTGTTACAGATTGGAGGGTGTGGAGCTCCCGGATGTGATGGATATTTGCGAGGTTGACTTTTGTGTAGTGTATAGTTATCATCCATTTTCGTGATGGGTGGAGATGGAGATTAAGAAGTCAAGTCAATTTTTATTCACTCTCACTCTATTATACTCAAAATTCTTTGTGGAAACTCCTACTATATTCTCTATTTACTTCACATATTGAAAACTGGGCTCGAGTGACGTCTTGTGATTTAGATGATTACCGTATGATATATTATACCCTCGAGTCCAGAGTGCACGGATCCGCGAGGGCTAGGCATGGAACGCACCATTCGGTGAAGTGGTTTCTTGCCGTTTGGGTTGGGTCTTCTCGCTTGCGGAGCATGCTACGTACTGTAAGTTTGTATCATTTAACCCGTCGGGGGTCCTGCGTCCCGGAACCACGATACCTGACTTCTGAATATATTCGGAAAAAAAGTTGCGGGCTCAAATCCGGTGAGGAGGTAGGGCATCATAAGGAAGTCATGACTGGACAGTATGTACCTCCCAAACCTGCCGTGGGAAGTTGTCTCTATGGGGTAAAGTCCCCCCAGTGAAGAAAGTTTTGTTTATTTGGGTTCGTGTTCTGGTATGCATCCTTAGTAGTCTAAGACGTTGGTCATGTCTGGAGTAGTCACGGGAAGACGGGCGTCAGCCCTGTATGATTTCCTTCATCCTATCCGCGGGAAACCCCGCAGGGCGTATAACACTATGACACCGTCCGCTTTTTCTGTTATGTAGATGATAATTATTGGGACTTGATACCCCAGGAGGTGGGTCCCGGGGGGGGAGTTCCCAAGACTTGTGCTTGTCCGGGAGGAAGGGAGAAGGGAAATGTTTTTTTGTTTTTTTCGCGATACTGGCACAGGATGGGCCAGTTCAGCTTGTACGACTAGGACATCTCAGGCTGGTAGATGATGCTGAATCGGGCTCAAGTTTTTTTACGGGTGTCATGTATAATCACTCGCATATTGTACTAATTCTTATGATCAGTCTGGTGCAGCAAGCTGAGTTCTAGGCTTTCCCATCCCCCTGCGTCCCGCCAGTAATTATTCTTGTCCATTCCTGGTATATCCCTCTTTCCTCCTTCAAACCCCCCTCCTATTTATTCCTGTTGGAGACCTTGTGGGAGTAACAGTTCTCAATCATGTATATTTCTACGTGAGCTGCTGCAGAGAGCAAGAAAGAAGGCTAGTGATCTGGTTCAACACTCTTTCGGGACGTTTCGCACTGGACCTCACTATTGCGAGGCGGCGACGTCCTTTGGGCGCGGGGAGTATGGTTTTGGATATCGGGGCAGTGTCTGGGCCGCGGGGTGGGGTGTCTGGAGGTGGCGGCTATTTATCATGATAATATGAGCCCCTTTTTATTAGAACCTACACATGGGTTTTTTTTGCCAAGTTGAGAAAACATATTTGAAGTGCGACAACCAAAAAAAAAGAGGCTTGAGTAAATCAGGTTTTCAATCTCTCTTAACTTTAATCAATTACTACACGGCAAAAAAAAACATTATTATTTAAAATTATTTTCAGCACATAGAAAACTAGAGAATATGTTGATAATTGATTCTATGGGTTAATAGAAGAGTATTTATTCTCCAGTATCATACAAGTCTTTTTACTCCTTTTATTTTTTGAGCCTGGTGGTCAACCACGCTTCCATGATAAGGTCAAACTGCTCCTTCCTTGTCTACTAGCATTTTCATCCTGTTTCTTATTGAAATTTTGTGATATATCTAACCTCTTCCTGATCTTCATGGCCTTGTATTCCTTGTACTAAGTTGTCGGAAGGATATGATAAAAGAGTATTCATAAAATAGACTTTAAATTTGTATAAGACTTGATGAATACCGGTATTGCATTTTCTTGCTATCATACAGTCCATTATGATAAAACAATATTATTCTACCATGTACATAATGTGCTGCTACCCCTCATAACAATTTATTGTTTCAATATACTCATAGCTGCTGTGATACAGGGTTGGGTTTGCTGAACAGGTTTTATGAAGTTATATCTGCAACTGATAATCTCAAGAAATATCCATCAACCCTAACCATTAATACAGCCTTTAGTTGAAATTACAATGAGGTAGTGTTTAATCCTACAGGTGCAGCAGAAGCAGGAGATAATTTTAGTGTAAAAAAACATATTTTGGACCTTTTGTCATTTTTGTCATTTGAAATGCAATAACCTTTATTTTGAGCTGAAAAATGTTTTTTGAGTATACTTTAACTCACTTTTCTAGGCAAAAATATTATTTGGTGTTGCATACCGATGTGTAGGTTCTAATAAAAACATGCTCATATTATATTCCTCGTATGCCCGTTCGGTAGGGATTGTGCTATGATACATCCAAGAGCCAAGTTCTAACGCGGTAACCAAGTCAGAGGATTTGCGAGTGACCAAGTGTGGCTCTTGGGACAAATAATGTCCTTCTAAGGTGTTCAAAAAAAAAAGACTCAGCTAG